GAATATTTCGAGGTTTTTAGCGAAATTATTCGGAGAACCCGCGACTCGTTTTAAGATTTCGTCAACGCTTTTGAGCGTGAATTATACGTCTCGTTTACTGGACGCGGGGGTGGGCGCCTTTGAAGCGACATTTAAGCGGGTGACTTTGTGCCAGGTGTACCAACCTCTGTATGAACCGTACCTGCGTGAATTGTACAAAAAGCACAGCGTATTCACGAGTATTCTGTATAAGAGTCGCAAGCTTAACCGTCTAATTTATCAAAGAAATTGTTAATAACGTTATTTTCATCGTACTATACACGATAAGCGTATTTAGCTTGTGACCGCGATGCTTCTTTCGATAAAATCAAAGCGCTGTTCGCGATTACGTTAAAAATGTGTATTAACTTTCGAATCGGTTTGTCACCGATATTTTTCCACTTTCTGAATCACAAATATTTTTACTCGATTCGACGAGATAACCGATAAAGTGTTGTCGGTAATAACATTTCATTTTTACAGTTCCAAAGTTAAGATTCCATCAATTTTTATGGCTTCGCTTTGAAAACATGAAACTGTTTCAGAAAGAGAATTACTGTCTCGAGTGCAGTTATTAATACGATTTAATGCTCGTAACAGAAACGTATCAATACCAAAGCCATTTTCTCTTAATACCTGCAAATCCTTCGCGTAACTCTTGACACTGTTAATTCCACCAATCGAACAACGACGCAATTTACTCTCAATTATATATACTGGAACTGGAAGAAGGTATTTTCAGAATTACCGTTAACCATGTATAAATATTGAATTTCCGCGAAGCTGCTGTAAGAGCACAACGGTATCGAATCTTGTTCGGGATAAGTATTTGAAACCGTTTATAGCGAGTGTCGAGAAAAAATTGGTCGAATCGTTAAAACGTACGAGTTCCAATCATTGTCGAGTTTTCAAGATGAAATAACCAGTGGCGTTGTCGCTTCCGGTGCAATAAACCGCGTTCCATCCATGGTTTTAGGTGTATTCTGATTGGATCTAGTGGATTATGGCGGACGCAACGGGATTGTGATCCTATACGGATTAACAAACGATATTGACGTTAGTTCGAACCAATTTCTTACTCCCGTTTCGAAACTGAAGCTTTAAACCGCTGCAAACAAAATATTTTCCTCTCGTGTATTATCCTTGGAAAATTACAAATGTTTTGGAAAAATGTGGTCCACTTTTATAATTTAAGATATAAAGCGAACACGATGCAAGGCAACGTTTGTAACGTTATGTTTTTTCGGAAGACAAATTCAATTTTCTAAAGTAGCCGTTCGATTCATCGTCGGAATTATTCTGCGCTGGAGTTACTGGATGTTGGATACCGGTAACGAAAAGAGAAATGTTGAGACCACCGCAAAGTTTGTGGCATTGGACGAACGCCATTAAGGTCAAGTATAGAACGTTTCTTGTCTCTAAACTTGGCTGCAGCTTCGAACGAATTTTTAGCGACTACCACATGCTTTCTCATGGGGGACCAGCTCCAAAAGTGAAATTCGCTCCGCGAAAGCGGCTCCTTTCCGAATTAAAATAGACGCTTGCAGTCTCGTATTAACGACTCTAGTGAATTTCTATAATTACTCCAATCTCGTTAAACATCTAACAGATTTTGTATATTGTTACAAAGATAAATGTAAATGTTTTTTCAAGACGTTTATCGGATAAGTATGCGCGTAGAAACTTCAACTCATCCGGCTTGTATACGTTTCTGCGAATAAAAATTCAGAGCCACACCTTGGTCGCCCCGCCGTAACATTCTATGATATTTAATTTTAGAAAAGAAAAAAGGCGGTTGTTTCTAAAAGATTGGAGGTAACACGCGCGTAAGAGAAAAACGCGTAAAATAAAGAACGAGACCAAAACAAAAAAGAGAAAATATCGCCTAATGGCCTTAGATACATCTCGCGAAATTAAAAATTCTCGTTTCTCCCAGGAAATCGTTTGTCACACTTTTTCTGTCATTTTAAATAACATTATTTATATATATTACATACAAATAGAAAAATGGTGATCCATCATGTTCTCGAAGGAATCTCGTAAAAAGGAGTAGTAAGCAAAGACGTTAAATTGATGACGTAGCAATCTGAAGCTTTTAATTTCTTGTTAATTCCTGGTTATTTTCTTGCTGTAACGCATCTTTTTTTTCTCTTAATAATTCTGCTTCGTACACTTAAAGCGTTCGTATTGCGGTAATTTGTCAACAGAAGCCGCGTTCGAGAAAATGGTTGCACGTTGTTAATTAACTGATACGAACTGGTTATGAGCGCTATCGCTTCCTGCTGTAACAAAACCTGAATCTTCTTACGACTATTTCGAGTATACAGGTTTCCGTCTCGTTCGAATTCGCCTAAGAAACGTATACAAAATTAACAAAAAGTTTGTTAACGCGTGCACACGTTTATACCGATGTTTCATTATTCGCGTCGTATTCGTTGGCATTGTTATGTAGGCTTGATTCATTTCCGACAAAAATGTTGGTTACGCAACTGTAAGTTTGAAAGGACGGTGAATCCCTGTTGCACAGGTAACGAATATGTAAAGACCATAAGTCGATACTAAGCAATACTTATTTATTAAATAAGGTATTAAACTTCTATGCACGCTAGTTTTACGTTTCCTGACTGGGGGAGAAAAACAGCTCTACTTGGTTATATTATCGATTTCCGTAGATACGATAGACGCGAGGTACTATTGCAGTTGAAACGATTGTAAGGCTTCCGAAAAATCAGTATCATTCGCGAGAATATTTATTCTCTGAAATATCGAAGGAAATAAAAGAAATTGTCACAGGTTGCTTTCGGATTTAAGGAACGGACCATTTTGTCAAAGCTATTCAGAAATACGAATAATTTCGAATTGCACAAAAGTTTTAGAAATCGATCGAATCGAAGCTTTCGTTAAAGTTGCCTTGTAAGCTGTACCTTATTGGTATTTTCCTAGCAAAGTCCGATCGCAAAGTTTCATTTTTCACTCGTCGCCTTCTTTCTTCGCTGGACGACATCGTGCGACCGGAAGCTTGTCTTCTACAGGATCTCGTCCTGCAAGTTTACCCTTATTTACTTAACGAATGTTCGACCGTAACCGTACTATCGATAAAACTTTATCCCTGGTCATGGACTATCTCTCCTCCAAAAGATCATTTTATTCTTTCTTACAACTTTGTTTTCTACATATTTTCCTTCCTGTACGGTACGTCTCAGAAAAGATTATACTCTAAAGCAGTAAATCCTTGAAGTAGTCGTTTTGCATGAAAAATGTTGATGAAGTTAACGGGATGTTAACTGAAATTACGGGAAATTAACGGTTTGTAGCGAAGTTAAAGTTTCAAGTCGATGTACCGTAAGCGCTATGTCGATATATTTTTATGGCCTCAAATGATATCGAATTCTGTCCGTTTCGAAATCGAAACATTTGATGTAGAGCAACATAATATTTGTATTGTACTCGGCAACTTGGATAGAAGTGGTTTCGTTTTAGGAAACTCGTGTGCAGCTCTCTGTGTACCTTCCCTTTTTTTATCTACGGTCGACAAGATACCCTGTCGTTTAACGCGTTCGGTATTTGATAAGAATGCAACCGTTGTAAACGGAGGCTTTGGCCGACCCTTTCGACATTTCCGCTCTCGGCACTCACACCGTGTTTTACGAATACGACAGATAAGATCTTGTATTCGGTGGAACTGTACCGCTGCACAGATCGTTCGCTATCTAATACAGTTTCGTTCTTTTATTATTTAAATTAGAGTTTCGTCGTGTTCGGACCAGAAGTGGAATTTTAACTCGGAATAGTCATACCGTTCGAGTTATTAGGAATATTGCGAATAGCAAGTACATGTTTGAATAATTGCATACTTTGATCGTTGGAGTGCTTATTTGAGGTCTTGCTAATCGCGACCTGTATCTTCGTAAACTCATAGCACTATGGTCGATCCAGTTCCAGTTCGAATCGTTCTGCAGTCGCTGTTAAAGTGCAGACTGATGCGTAGAAAGAATCGTCGAGACTGTTTTTGTTGTTTCACGCATTAGGTGCGAGTTAATTCGTGGGAATTCGTATGTTGATGGGCTCGGTAGGCAGTGCAAGGGTGGCTCGTCCTACCGTGACCGGATGTGACGAGTCTTTCTTTTGTGCGTAATTGTTTAGCAGGTGTGAAGCCTAATAGTCTCGTCGAGTGTTAGCAAACGAACTAACTATTATACGAAAACCTTGTTCCTTTTTCGTTCGATCTTTAGCTCTTTAATCGTTATTGTTTTGCTCGATCGTGCTCGAGTTATACAGGAGGTAAAAGTACGGACTTTATCGTACGGTATGCGAGATAGACGATCATCGATTAGTCTTTGAAATTGGAAAATCGTGCTTCAACAAACTTTGATAACATGCTGTAAATTTCATGCTGTACGTAGAGCGTTATCGGTAGCGCGGCCGTTATCTGCGATAAGATTTATAGACAAAATTTCTGGTAAAACGTTATCCGACATTCTTTCAAGTTGCTTAGAATTTTATTAAATTTCATCCGACTATATCTACACGTGTACATTTCATAAAAAGTTCAGTACAAATGTTTGTTTCGCGAAATGCCTACCGAATAACAAATTATTCGCTTCCGATAGAGAAGAGTTCGTCCGCTTTATACCTTCTTAAGGTAACGTAGTTTTCTAGGGATTTTATAAATTTTTCTGCAGCGATCTACCTTACCTACGGATAGTAAAACTGTTGGGAACAAATAAGTCTTTTTTATTTCTACGTAGTCGGTAGTCGATAAGGTACGACGTACAAATCCATCTTTCCCAACAATTCATAAATTTCTGCAGTTAGCAACGGTCGAATCCTGCCATGATACCATCGTAACACTTTGGTAGTAAAAAGGTGAAACGTAGTACAGGGCTACTTTTCACCCTCTTATCCGGCCATGTCCGTTCTCTATAAAGTATCCGACTTTATATGTATATGATGGTAAGAATTGTTGATCTTTGGTGTTTCAGTGATCCGTCAACGCCGCATCGCCATCTGCCCGGCAGTCTGCGAGGTTCCTTAAACTATTCTCAGAACCATCGGCATAACCATCTCCACAGACATGATCCAGCACTGCCACCCGCCTACTGTACACCACCTCCGCCATCGTCCTCGAGTTACCTCACAGTGCAGCGTGGCTGTGCCCTGCATTCAAGGTAAGTCGATTTACCCTCGCGTGTGCACACAGACACGAGACTCGCTCGAGTGCATTAACGCACACAGAATTCATGTTTATTCGGCACATCGACGTAGACACGCCTAATAAGATGTACTGGGTCTTTCGTTATTAAAGATGCAGATGGCTCGAAGTTAAACTTTCAAGTTGTTATCTTATACTATCGATAAAATAGCAATGCTATTTAAGATAGGAATGCCAATTTATTTTCATGTACGTCTTGAAAATTCGTGACGAGGAAACGGTACCGATATTGTAAAGATATTATTAAACGGTCAGCATTAAGAATGAATGATCGCGGACCAGGTTTCGTCTAACGTTAAAGTGGAACACATCACTTAGTTATAACGCCAGATTTCGTATTCTGCTTTCCTCTGCTTTACAAAATTAAACTGCTATAATTTATTCATGAACTTATGTATTTATTACACCGCATTTATATTAAATGGACTCATTTAATTAATCGGATTGTGACTTTTACACTTGGGACACTAATTTCATTTCTAAACGAGTTCTCGAATCATAAATTCTTGAATATATACGGATAGCGCGTTAAATTGAAAAGTTGATGCATAGGGATTATTAGCATTATGTTCGAGCACGCTTCTACCAACGTTTTACCAGTCGGTTGGACTTTTCATGGCCACCCTTCATCCTTGAAAACGTCACTGCCATACTCGTCGATTAATTCAGCTTCTCTTTTTTACCTCTGTTTCCGTGTCGCGTTCGTACGAATGGGGGTGTTGTTTCGGAATAGGGTAGGTTCCAGAGACGGGAATCGTTTTCGACACTCGATACTAGAACATGAAATGGACGAACAACGGACTGAATTACGATCGTTCAGGTTATCTGACAGCTGAAGAAAAAAGGGAAACGTAAATGCGAGTGCATCGAGGAGGAAAATAGAATTACATCGTTAACGAAGATACACCGATCGTGTCGGATAATTAATACTATTGCCATTTCGATATTGCCTTTTTCTCAGTAGTTGATGAACGAACGCGCAATAGGAGTCAAGAACGAGTTAGAGTAGGTAGAAATAAGAAATGACTTTTGGATTGGAGCGGAATGGAAACAGAGTCGCGTTTGAAAGTCTGGAAATAAGTGTAATGAGTACGAAGAGGCTGTTTCCGTACTCGTTGCTTGCCTCCAAAGAGCTGTTGCTGCTTTATAGCTGCGTTCTCTCGAGCTATTACGCTCGCAAAAACATTTGACGAATTCAACGTGCACAGCAATTAAATTACGCTATTACGAATCTTTGTAACTAGTGCAATATGAATTCTATTCGAAGTTCTCTGTAATTTCGTTTTGTTCGATTATTCTAAGAGAGAAAAGAGAAAACTATTGATTTAAAGAACGTATCAGGTCTTTTCTAAAATAAGTAGTATTAGTCAGACACGAGTCAGACAGGAGTCAGACGGTCCGACGTCGACGCTTACAATTAGGCAAACATTACCTACAAACATTCCTTGATTCTATGCATTATCGACGATGCAACGTACCGACATTCCAGCGTTAAATCACGGAAAGAAAAAATGCTGAGAACAGTGGATCGCGTGAACTGCGAACGGTTAAATGGATTTCAAAAACTGACAGTCGAATCCGCGACGAAAATCACGTGTCCAGGCGAACATGTCCTCCGTAACATTTTAATTTCCAGTCGGTGATAAAAATCGCGCGGGCACCGTCGAACCCGATTCAGCCGAGCAAATGAAACGGTGGACGTATTTTACATTCCGTTTTCGATCTCGGGCCTGTGTTTCGTTTCGCGAGGCGATGAATGTGCTCGCGTAAAAATCGTATCCACGAGTCACGTTTCACCGGTTTCACCGAGGGATTACCGAACACCCCGATACTTGTACAAATTACAACTTGCCACCCCTTCCCGATACATCTACACGCTCGCGTTTGCAGCTGTGATCGAACGAGTTGCCGGCGGGTAAATGTGACCCAATGTTACTTGTAATTCATCGCATTTCGTCTGGCGTTGCAAATCGTCTACGATTTACTTTGACGAGCGTTAAGTGAAAACAAATTCTACGGGTATTAGATCTGTGCTAGATTAGAGTCACGTATCTTTTACAGGCGTTTAATTTTTAATTACGGTTAGCGATTAAAGACACGCGTTCCTGAGCGTCGCGTTTCTTACTCGTTCAATTTTTACGCTCGAGAACTTTTCACTTTGTTTTGATACAAATTACTCGAGACGTTTCACGTACAATTCAAAAATCAAATTATCGGAATTCTTAAGAAGCTGGTACTTCTGTACGAGTTACGAACTGTTTTCCCTTTTAGCTGTCGATAAAGAAAGTAAAGCGGTTCCGTTATCTACTACAGTATTCCTTCATCCCCGGTTTCCTCCTGGTCGTCGGAGTCATTTAAATAATCAACCGGACGGGAAAGACCCTTCCAGTTCTCCAATCTCTTTTATTTATTTTTCTTTTTCTGCGTCGTCGTCGTCTCTCACTTTCTGTCTCTCTGGTCTGTATCCGTTTAATTTCTCTCCTTGTCTCGGGTTCGCCGATTCTTTTATTGCTTTCTACCTTTCGTTTTTCTTTTTTTACGTCTTCCTCGATAGCGGGGAATTTATGAGGAGCTAGGTTAAATTCATTGCCGAGTTCGTTAACAGTTTGCACGATTACGCCGCTCTGGGTCGTTTGATTCACTGTGACAGGGTCGAGGAGGAAGGAAATGGGTCGGTCAGGCGGAGGATCGTTGTAGGATAGTAATTTCGATTACACGAGAAAAAGGAAAGAAGTTTCAATGATTATGAGTACTATGTTTGCTCAACGTTCGACGTATATTTAACGCGAACTGTTCTACTCGAAAAGGTAGTTACAATGTATTAGATTTAGTAAATTCGTTTTTCGTTGAAAGCAAGAACGGTAATCGAAGAAATCGATCGGAGGAAAACGTCGAATTTTCTTAAAGTTTCGCTCGTAAACAGACGCGTGACGGCAAACTATGAAAAAGTCCAATTACGTTCGATAAAGTTGGCGACGTGCATGCTTTACAGTCTTCCGTGATAAGGATTCGCTTTTCAGGTTGATCCCCGATGGTTCTAAAAAAGCATGAAAAAGAAAACACTGGGCCGGATTTCCTGAAAGACGATAACACCTTTTATTCCTCGGCTGGGAAGAGTTAATTAGAAAAGCAACGAAGGCTTTTAACGGCGGAGAGAGCGGCGAGCTTCAAACTCGTTGAATCAAATTATTTCCGAGCGAGATTCAGCGTTCAAAACGAAATAAAATCACCGTGAATAGGAATCGCGATTTGCGAAATAAAGAATTTCCATAGAAAAGTTTGTGGAAACGCATTTGCATTTGTAACGATTATTTCGAATATTACGGCTTAAATGATTGAGGTTATATTTTTGTTAGCCTTGGGAAAATCATCGTTAGATCGCTCTTGTGACTCCAGGAGCAATCAAAGCGTTGTAACAGTTGAAATTGAAGCGGACGTAATCAGAGTCAATTTGCAGAAATATCACGTTACAGTTCACGGATGATTCATATAGCTAGGTATGGCGTGACCCATCACAGTCGACTGTAACTTTGTAGCCAGTTTAGTTTGGAGGACTCATGGGGCCAGTAGCGAATAGCTTATTAGAATCCCTGTTGGCGTGCTCGCAGTCGGCTGACTTACACGGATGCTTTACGGTTAATTCCTATGACGTGACCCTCGGAGTCGTATAGCCGTCTTCGAGTCTTTGATAACGTGATTTAAAGCGAGAATTCGCGATGTTACCGGCCGTGTTCGGTAAAAAGTACTGCCCGTTGCTCTTGGCTGACCTGAAAATTGACCAACGGCATGGTTTGTTCCTGATAGCACGGTTATTCTCGAGAAACTTATGTTACTTGATAGTGTCAAACGTACGCCGCACCGTTTATCATGTACGGCTTGAATCGCTACGCCGTTAGCGTCGGTCAAACAGGGCAATGACACTCGCGTTTGAGAAAATCCCTGCTCGGGGAATTCGCGTGGCTGGTGTTGTTTCAAAACTGCAATATAGAATTCGAATCGACGTCGAGTTAACTTCGGATTAGATTTCGACGACGCGTTAGTAAGCGTGTCGTATCTTATTATACTTTTCTTCTTTCGATGTTATTTCACGGACGACGTGCACAGCACGAGACGGACTGAGCTGCCGGAGATAAAAAGCAAAAGGAAGATGAAATTTTTCTGCATGATGGTGCTGACAGGATTGTACGTTGACTTATGCGAAAAATGGCATAAACGAGGCAGTGTGTTGAACTGTGCATTGTGCCGGTAAGCTTTATATTTCCGGGATAAGTAGAGGTTTTTACGACGAAATAAAACAGAAGCTGCGCGCAACCAACCGATATTTCCTAGGGACATGATAAAGGAGCAAGAAGGTAAAAAGACAGGGGATGCTTTCTGGTAGCACCGACGCGTTTCTTCCGACGAAAAATCGACCATCCCTCGAACACTTTTTACGATATTTGGTTTTATACAATTTACTTCCTCGTCCGACCGACACACTCTGGCCGCGTACACGCCGCGAGAGTAAAAACCAGATTCAAGATGTAGTTTCCGTTTACGGGTAATTAATCGGCAGAGTTACGTTAGTAATCGACAGAACTGGTTTAAAAAACGAGCTAGCTATTGTAATTAAATTAATTTAGCATCGTGGATTGTAAGCAAAAGAAGGGTGAAATTTTTATTCTCTTCGTCGATGAGCTGGTTCGAAAAAAGAAGAAACAGAAAAAGGAAAGGGACGGGGATAAAAAGTACGAAAGGAAGATAGCAGAAAGGAGATGGAGGCTTAAGGTGACAAGGAACGTCGATTCGGTGTCTTCGGTAAAGGAAAGAACGATAAACTTTGCTCACGTACGGGAGAATCGTGTTTCAGAGGGTAGGTCAGGCCAACGTCGTGAATAGAACGATCGATTTTCATGAAATTGAAGAATAGTAGCTGCAACTGGATTAAGCTTTTAAAAGACTGAAAGCTTCGGTTAC